AGGTACGTGCGATCATCATTATCACAGACTTCTAGATAGAATAATTGTTCTGACAGTATATCTCACGAGATCACTAAATCAACGGAAAACGAAACAGGCAAACATTAAAGATGCTTTGGGTTCTTATCTACCAAGGAGAAGAAATTCAAAAGTGGGGAAAACTTTTGGGAAATACATTCCTCACCACAAGGGCGACACACCATCCACTAACGCTTCTCATTTTATACTTGTAAATCTCCACAAATACCTCTAAAATAGTTATATAAGAGCTGAGCTCGCGTATTTCATGATTCACTATGTCTAAATCCTTAGTTCGAGTGTGGCTCAGTGGCTAGCATGCCAGACTGTGGCTTCAAGATTCTGTTGTTCGCGCACTGTTACCGATAAAAAAAAATCACGCTTTTCACTTTGGGTTCGTGGGTGCGTTATAAGAGTGGCGATTAAAACCCACTATTCTATTACAGTTATGCAAGAGTTTGCGGGGTGGGAGACTGCTATCTTCCCTTTCAACCTATCGCTTCAAACTTGGGGAAGACTAGTGCAATGAACCCTCGTGTAATTTTGCGCGAAATTCCACAAATGGCAATAAATAAATCCTTAAGTGCCAGTTAATTTTCATGATCAGTGGCAGGAATAATAACGATAGTGTAAAGAATTTTACTTCACAAACAGAGTATAATGTTAATACACACTAAGAGTATTTTTAATATTTCTTTATAAAACTCAAACAACCCATCATAATACTCTTTCAATCCTGACGTGGTTTTTTGAGGCATTTCAACGTTTTAGGCACTCACTGTTTTCTAGATTTTGTTTAATGTAAAATTCGACATAATATACTGAAAATGAGCAATAAAAACATTTCCATAGTCCTCTAAAATACTTTGGTTCACGCTGTAGTATCTCTTACATTCCTTATTATTGCGATGTTAAGTATTTTTAATTGAGATCTGTGTGACTCTATGTACAAAAGTATATTTGACTTGTTTTTTTGTTTACTCGAGGGATATTTATAAAGAAATAAAATTTTATTTCCTGTTTGCCAACCATATCAGATTATAACCAACATATATGTAAGTATCAATAGTACTTAAGATGATAAGAATCAGATATCATTTCTCAACACAGTCATCCATAAGTACGATACATTTTATCTATCTTTATCTAAGCTGCATATCAGTTCAGTAAAATGCAGGTGTGGTCTTGCGAATCTAATTATGTACATCCGTTTTGAAGCCTTAATTGTTTTGAAGTGTTTTCCACGTAGAATTTCCAAAAGATGACTAAAAAGACGAGATAATAACCACGCATATTTCTGACCGATCATGTCAGTCTGTTCTCCATCTTCCTTTACAAATTTAAACAAAGTACGTTTTACAAAAGAAATTCTATTTTTTTGAAGTAGCCATTTTTCATATGTTTCATACTACGTATGATGGGAACATCACACATAAGACTGTTAGCAGCTGATGGCTATTATTCTATTAGCAGGGTCATTTACCAGCCGCAATTCATTCATATCTAGAGCATCGGAAAGAAAATCCTGCGTCTTTCTAAATACTCCTTATACAATGATACTGATGTCATTTTAGAATATAATCAGCTGTTTAAATCCATGCAGAAATAAAACACAGCCTATAATTATTAAAACATAACAGTCTTAAGGAGGATTAAAATGACTTGTGAGTCACTTAAATCTGTTTTTCCATCCCATTTCTAACTTATCAGAACACCCCATAAAATGTAGATTTATACGTTATTTTGTTAGAACTGAGCAAGAGCAATAACTTTGGTAAATCTGATTTTAAATCATCTCTACAATACTACAATGAATGGGCATTATCAAGACCTCACCTACATCAGATTTTATTGGAACATTTTCCCCACAATAATAGCTTGGACTTTGCGTGGCATAGGCTCTACAACATGCCAGAAAGTTTGTTTTGTTTGCTTATAGTTCATTTATTGAGGACGTGGTTTGTAACTAGTTCACACATGTTTAGATCTGGTGATTTCACTGGCCTGGAAAGATATTTAATATCATTGTCATGCCCTTGGACCCAACATAAGACTATACGAGCGCCACTGATTGTTACATTGCCATCTTAGAAGAGACCTTTTCAGTCATGCGGGAATTACAGCATATTGAAATGAGCTTGATTATTAGCAACGTTTGGGTTCGCTCTGGATATTATTCACCTCTTTTAAAGGAATCAAAGGACATGACTCCTTTTAAAAAACACGTTCCCACACAATTACTCCACCTCCAGTAGTTTGCACTGTCTGAACAACAGAAGTATTTATAAGATCTTATGAGTGAGAGTAAAGAAGAGTGTAATAACATGTCAACCACGCTATATTTACTATACCCAGAGCCGACAAGGCCTTTCACCACATATCAGAGCACATCAGACCGGTTAGGATAAAGCAGACATATTAGTAGTCGAGACACTGTTTATATTATCAGTTAGTTGAACAACTCTTTCGGTGTGAAGTTAATTACTTAGGTAGGTTGTACCTTTTGTGAATTTTATTTTTAAGTCATTAAACATTAAAATTAGTTTTATAATAATTACTTTTTGCTTTATTCTATTTGCTGTGAGCAATGAAAGGAGCAAAACATTTCTCATCAGACTTCATCTTAAGCTTTCAATGATTAATAGTCCACAGATTACGTTTTAACCATGATTTCCTCTTTTCGTCAGGAATACTCGTTTTATAATCTTCTCACACAGTATTAGTTGGAATAGTTAAACTTTTACATTTTCCAAAGGAGTCTTTCAATCGGCATATAGTCTGATGTCGATTCCATTTTACAAAACACCTTATTGCCTTTTCCCTTAGTCAATCACCAAGTGGTAGTCAAAGTTGTTTTTTTCTAGTGTGAAACATATTCTCTTACGCTTATCACTACTAATATACTCCTATGATAAATCTCTTTGAGAGCTCTTCAAGGAACCTATCTTTAGCAAAAACGCCTTGGCCAGATGGACACCCACTATCTATTTGTTGGAATGTTGGAGAGATGGTTGTTTATCTAACATATTCTAGACTAACTATGCTTAGACCATATCTCCTCCTCTACTGCTCAAGCAATCATCTGATACATTATGTTTTGCATACACAAATGGAAGGAATGTTTAATAAATGAGAGAGGAGGTTACTAAAGTGGCTAGTCACCGTATGATAGTTCTTTGCATCCTTCAGCTTTACACAAGTTTTAATATTAAAAACAAAACTACTTGTAATTTAGTGTTTAGAATAGCTGAACTAAAGATACAGTTCTTCAAAGTGCACATGTTTCTTTATTTTTATCTAATGTGTTTAATCATTTATCTTAATGATTTAATACATATAGTCTCTGACTGTTTTCTATTAATATATTGATGATACTTTGAAAGAATAAAGTTATTTAGTTCAAATTATTTAAATTTCTAGCATTTTGTTCTAAAGCTTTTAGGTTAAACATTTTAATAGGTGCCATCTACTCGACTAGTGCTACAAACCTCAGTTTGTTTCGTTAATCGTTTCACGATGGGTCAGCAATGATAAAATCCGGCGTTCGAATCTACACGGTGGATACAGTAGATAGCCCATTGTGGCTTTGCTCTTAAACACAACACTACAATTGGTTCGTTAATAACATAAATATGTAATCAAAATTTATTTTCTTAGTATTAATTATAATTACAGATTTATATATATTTAAGACTTAGTAATTATTAGTAATGAAAATTGGCTTGGCTCATTAAATAAAATATAGTACTAATAATATTCAATAATCACCAATCTACACTGTCGAAACAATTTTGTGGATTTGTTGGATCTGTTGGACTCTATGTTAAAGAAGCAATTATATAAAAAATATAGAAAAAAGGCTTATGTTTCAAATAGCAATGTAATAAGTATTTTATAATGAACTTGAAATAAGACTAGAATAATTCATTTGTAGTTAAGCACAAAGCTACACCATGGATTATTTGTGCTCTACCCACCAGGAGTATCGAAACCCGTTTTCGAACATTTGAAGTCCGCAGACATATCGCTGTGCCACTGGGGGAGACTAAAACAATAAAAAACAAAAACTACAAAAAACATAGATTGAAACTATAATTTACTTTTATCTAGAAGACTGTAACTTGCATGAATCCATTACTAAATGCAGTTACGATCTACATAATGTGCGCCATAGTTTATTGGAGATATTGGTATATTAGCCGATAAACTGTTTAAGATCTATCATTCGGTTTACCACTTATTACTGAGTTTCCCTCTAGTCTTACACTGCTAAATTAGGGACGGCTAGCGCAGATAGCCCTCGTGTAGCTTTGCGCGAAATTCAAAACAAACAAACAAATCTACTTCAATAAAACTTCTCTCAACGTAACAGTTTGTTGGACTGGAATCCAAAAATTAGCGAACGTTTATTGCTTGTATTTACTTATTTTCACTGTGCTCGTATAACGAAAACAATAGCCACACTTATTCAATAAATCGTGGCTAGCCATTTTTAATTTTACAGAATACTGTAGTTTTCTATTTACTAGTTTCTGTATGTGTATTTTAATGTAAGCAAAAAAACGCATTGAAAACAAAGAATCAAAATGCTGTTTTATTTTAAAATTAACAATCTAATTTGACTTGGCTTGTGGGGAATATTCTATTTTAGTAATTTTTTACAAAGTTGGTAAATAAATGTATTTTTCTAATTTCAAAGAAATTATAATTGGAACAACCTCTGTTTGGTCTTGTAAAAATGCACATAATATTCTGAATGTAAATAAGGTCACGTAGTCTACACAACATATATTTTATCAATTTCAAGTATGATAAAGATAATTCAGTATATGTGTGCACTATGTATGTGATGATACTTTACTGTTCGTTGTAAACGAAAACACTACTTTATCTTACTTCATTGCTATATATATTCAATCACTTTTATAAATATTGTTATAATTATTTTATTTCCTGTAAAGATCGTCTATTGTTTCTTTCAGACTCGAGTTCTGCGCTGATGAGTGGTCATTGTATCTTATTCCTTTGCAAGAACCTTACAGAAGAAAGCAAGAAATACAAAGTAAAGTTACTTCAATAGGTCATTTTAAAGTGATGTTATTTAGTTGTTTGTGTTTTATTCATATTTAAAATCTCACAATGCGTTTTAACATTTACACGAACCCCATTACATATGAGACATTTGTTTGTACTATATTAAGCATAATGTTTGTTACTGAGGCTCTAACCTGTAATATCACTAACTGTACTTGCATTTGGAGAAATGGCAAACAGACAGCTGAGTGTCCAAGTGGGGGATTTACAACTGTTCCACGAGGACTTGACAGTGGTATTCAAGTGCTTAATTTGACAAGTAACAATTTTCGTGGACTAGGTCGTGAAATTTTTGTAGATGCAGGATTAGGCAATTTACAGAAAGTACATCTAGCTCGCTGTGGGATTGAATGGATCGACGAATTTGCCTTTAGTCGTCTCACCAATTTAATCGAGTTGAACCTGGGTTACAACAAGCTTCAGGCTATTCCCTCGGCAAGTTTTCATCACTTACCCCGGTTACGAGAACTCGTACTTAGCGGAAATAGCATTTCTACCGTTCCCAATCTAGCTTTTCAATCAGCTAAATCGTTGACTTATCTAGAGCTGAGCAGATGTCACATACATACAATTGGAGATAGAGCGTTTGAAGGCTTGAGAAACCTTAAAGTGCTGAAGATCGATCAAAACAATTTAAAGACGTTTCCAGGTAAAGCCATAAATCATTTACAATCTTTGTATGAGATAACGATAGACGGGAATCCTTGGACTTGTGACTGCAACCTCCGCGCATTCCGCCAGTGGATGGATAAAAACAACGTTCCAATATATGTGCCCCCTATCTGTACAAACCCTTCTAGACTGAGAGGTAAAAGCTGGAGCCAAATAAACCTTGAAGACTATTCCTGTCCTCCTCGTTTTTTGAACACTTCCAGTGTTGTTAGTGTCTTTGAGGATTTCAACGTTACACTGGAATGTCGAGTACTTGGCGATCCTAGTCCTAATATAAAGTGGATTTGGAGAGATAGAACAATTGCTAATTTATCTGAAGGCATATCTGAACGACAGGTGTTTGTAATTCTTGAGAAAGAATTAGGGAGAGTAAAAACAGCAACCTTGGAAATTACATTCATTCAGGAACCTAATGCTGGTTCGTATTCCTGCATTGCAGAGAATAATGCAGGAATAGCATCTCAAAATTTTTCTTTGGTTATCTCTCGACGACCTGTTACTGAAGGCAAAGTTTCAAACGAAGAAAAACCACAGGAAGTGCGAGAAAATGATACAAACGAGGATGTTACTAGTGCCGATGGGGTTGTTATTGGAATGATTATTGGTATCGTAGTGGGAGCTATTCTAGTTCTGTTGATATTTAGTATATTCTTATGGGTTTTACGAAGAAAACGAATATCGAGTCAAAGAAGACACTCTGACGTAAGCAACAAAGCTACTAACTCCGATAATAATCCTGTTCCTAAAAACCCTTGCGATGAAGTGGACCTAAAATTCCTTAACCAAGTAAACCCCAACGAAAAGCTTCCGAGAATAAGGAATTACCAAAACATTCCAACTGGCGATATCGGTCAATACGATCCGATGATAATAGAATGTGAGCAACCTCAACAACTCTTTGTGGTAAATGATCATTTATCACATGACACTAACTGGGAAATGTCTATAGCAGAAGATCCTTCTTTCCAACCTCCTCCCTTTTCAGAGAAACGTTACTCTCGAGGTCTAATTCCAGTTCCGGTACCTGTGCCCCCTCAAGATTTTCATTCACGTTTGCAAACAGAGCTATCAGATACATTACAGCGGAAATGTGACAAAAAATCAACAGAGAGGGAAAGAGGAGACGGTAGCTCAGAATTAGAAGCAGGAGAATACGAAGGAACCTCCAAACATTTTATTGAAACCTTGCGTGTTAAAGAACTACAAAAAACCTTTAAAGATGATGAAAATAGATTAAGTATGCCTCAATTGCATTCAGAGAATAAAACCCCTGATCTACTTGATCACAGTCGACATTCACAGCCGGAAACCTCTCGTATCTGGAGTCGTTACGAACATCCGTCAGCTTATTTTCATCCCTCCCACGAGTACACTACGAATGGTTTACAGGGCGGAGCCAATGGTACAGAAGTGTGAAAAAACAAAGTATAGATACGTTGCTCTCTTCATTTTGGGAAGATCTATTTTTTTTTCCTTAACTAGCATGTGGAGCTACATTCTGAACAAATGAAATAAATACAGTCTGTCATTTGTAAGTGAACAATATAAACAGAAAAAAAAAGAAAACCAGAAATGAATTTGAAAATGATCTAGAAATATTTAAAAATAGCATTAAAATGGTAAATAATGAATGAAATACTGGTTGATGATCAAGCATCATTATATTAATCAACTTAGGGTCTCTCTGCCACCTGTATGTCTATAGAAACGTTATCAAATATAATTAGAAACCATCTGTATTGCTTGTACACAACCGTAAACTATATTTGTATAAATAAAAACTCTTTGATCATTGAGTAAAGTAATTTGAAAACTTATCAAACACGATCATTTCTATTTATGGATACTGCATACTAATTCATTTCCGAAAATAACCCAGATACTCTTATAAAACTGGAATTGATATTAAGATATATATACCTGATGTAATACTCCTCCCCCAACTAAGTGTTGTTCTTATTTTGAATATATGTTATATAAAGTACATTTTCTTTGAAAAAAGACAGAGTGAAACATTATTCTTCAAGCTCTAAAGTTTTTGTAAGAGTAATGTATAAACACTGTACCTAAATGTAATGAACTATTTGTTACTAGCTTTTGTGTAATGCCCTTTATTTATGCTCTAACGTTCTGATTTGAGTTTTGAAAGTTTCTGACACATTTCACTGTGAAATGTTCGTTGTAAGAATTATGCTAAAAATTAAAATTGTTGGTACAGAATTAGATAATTGTCATATTTCTTATTATTTGTTTTTATTTACAATAAAATCTGATTTTTTTTTCACATTAGAATTATTTTTCCGCTATACGATTCAAACACAAAAGATCGGTTTATGGAATCTGTTTTGTTTTAAAACATGGTATTTTATATTCCCAATTAATATTCTTGGAATCGTAAATTACTTTAATAATATAAGAATATATATAGATTAAGATTAATAATACCATGAATAAAAAGAAATAGAAAATGCGCTAAATATTATTTTTTTCTTTCCAATTTCTAGGAGAAAACTGTTAAATTAACAGCGTTAATCATGAAAATGTAGTTAAAAACATCTGCAGAAAATAGAAACTATTTAATGTGTCAACACACATGGAGATTAATATATTCGTTTCTTGAGTGGAAAGTTTAAAAACGTTAACCAGAACATCCGTTAAGTTTTTCTATATATTTTTTAATTTCTTGAGTATAAATATATTTTACTAAACTATAGTTGAGCAGCATGAACAATGAAATTCATTCAAAAAAATAAGATAAAAATGCACGATTACTTTACTTTGAATCTATTCTAGAATGCCTCAACGAGTAACATTTTATAATTTTTAATCAAAGTAATAGTTTTTACTACTTTTCTTAGATTAAAACTTCTGAATCATCAAATGCTCTTGTAATTGCAAAAACTATAAAGAAGATTTTATAATTACTTTTTATTATTTTTATTGATTTACTTCCTTGACAAATACATCAGTGAATGTGTCTCAAATCTGTCTAGAGAAGCCAGCTAGTGTTTCTGTACTCTCTCTAACATCTCAAGAACTGGTAACCTGCAATACATATAACGTCAACAAATATATATTAGAATTGAATAACATTCTTTTTTTTTTCTTTAAGTTAATTTTAATAATAATAGTTTTGTTACTTCTACACATAATTTGAAACTTTCACTAAAACATCCATGTAGTTGATTTTGACGCTTTACTTTACGGCTTTTAAATATGATCAGATAAAATCGAGATATTCATATCCTGATAAAATTCAAACCACGAATTAAGTGATGCTTTTTTTCTCTCTATTTTAGCTATTATATATTTAGTTCAAGAATATCACATTACATTACGAAACACAGTAGTATTTAAATATGTTTGTGTGTTTAATCATTCAGAATCCTAGTTATCTATTTATTTATGCACGTCTATACAAGTAAAATGTATGTTTTTTATTTGAAAATGATAAATAATAGGATGAAGGTCACGCAGCCTTTTCTTACATACCCGTTATGACAGCAGCGCAAGGTTAGTATTCCGTATAATATAATTTCATAAGAAAGAAAATAAAAGTATTCGAAATAAGACTTCAAAAGCTTTCATAATGAGATTTCTATCAAAATCTTACCAAGGCTCTGCAATGAGAGAAGTTTTCATCATATAAGTGTTTGACATCTACCTTCAAGAAAGTCTGCTAAAATATAGTATAAAACAATCCTTTCAAGAACTAAAAACACCATTATCATTAATGTATAAATAGATCGCTAGCTGTGAAATAAGGTTTACGGTATTTAGTCTTTAAGGTTCATAAAGTGGGAGAGAAAGATTCAATAGATTGACAATTAACGGGTTTTACGTACAATAGATATGTACAATAAACATGTTTTATTCCAAGTTGAAATGTCTTCGCCGCAAGTTTTCGTCTACTTTACTGTAGCCGTCGTCAGGCTAAACTAAAAAAAAAAAAAAACATTTAAGTACAGCATATATTTGAACAGTAGAAGCGAGTCTCTTAAAAACATCAGATATTATACATTATTGTCAAAGAAACTGTGTAACAAACAACAATTTGAGTGTGGTGAATGTACCATAGGATGAATAACATAACTGAATTAATTATTAAATATCAGAAAGGAAATCCATTGAAAAACGAAAACAGTTGCATATTTAATAATATAGGTAAACCGCATTTTACATGCGAGTATATTTAGTGCATATATTATTTAAGAAAAGTTCTTACATAAATAATGTATACACATGCACTGAAAGGATACATCCACCAGCGAGAAATATAATCATTCAACGTCACCATGCCAATACATTTTCCTTACGAGAAAGGAAAGAGCGAATAACTTAAATATTCGGTAAGCACAATTATAAAGTAGAATTTCGATCAAAACCAACTTTACAAGTCTTACAAATTAACGTAAACAGCCCCGTACCATCGCTTGAGCGAAAATGGACGGTGTGCAGTATAACATGTTCGTGTGAAATATAGATATTGGGAAGTCAGGAAGAACTGTGGTTAAAGAGCACGAATTACACTTTGTCTTGGAAACCTGAAAAATCAGCTGTGGCGTCCCACGCATGAGAAAACCAAGAAAGTGTATAGAGAGAAACCAGATTTGTCCTCTTATTATACTACAACACATTATAAAGGAGAACCGATGATCAGGAAGCTGAATGAGGGTCAACAGAGACTGAGAAATCGTGACATCAATCCATTATGGTTTGACCTACTTTAATGTTCATTGTCAGTCCTCGAATATATTGTTCTACTTACATTGTAATAGAAACATGTACGTGTGTGTGTGTGTGCAATTATATGTTGTATACATATATATATATATGCATACATAAGTGTATGTATATGTGCGCATAAACACATTTTGTGCATACGTATGCATGTATTTATATATCCTATTTATGTATTACGTATTTATTTTGCTAAACATTTTATGCACACAAATACTCATGTTTAATAATACGCATATTTATAATATTAATTATGTAAGAGTTTTCATTTTTCGGTTGATTTCCTTTCTTGTATTTATAATTTAATCCAAGTGTGTTATCTTCTCTGGTTCATTCAGGACGGCCATGGTGTTGTTTGTTACGTAATTTCTTTGATAGCTATTTATATACTCTCATGTTTTCACGAAACTCACTTCTTTGTTATTCCAAATATGCGAGTTATAACTAATTCTTCTTGTACAAGACATTAGTATCAGGACTATCATATCTCTAACACTACATGCCTTAGGCCTTTTTCACGTAGAAGAGTATTTCAACCACACTATACCCATTATATCCATTGCCAACGACGCTTTTCGCTCAGTACAGAACTCATGCTTACTATAAATTTGTATTCAGTTTAGCATGACGAAGGTTGAAGTTGCAGTAAACAATTTTCAATTTGAAGTAAAACTTGTTCGTTGTCAATTTATAAACGAATTACAGTGTCATATTTCTTGTTCGGTGTGTTCACACTTGGAGAAAAAGATTGTTAAACAGTGGACCATCTATTTTTGTGACGGTACCATTCATTCAAATCAGTTGTATTTCAGTCTCTTAGGTAATAATATTTATTCCATTGTTTATATAGAGCTACCAAAGAATAAAATTGTTATAGTCTTTCCTACTTTTTTTGGCAAAACAAAACATAAATTTATCCTAATTTTTCAGGGTGCTTCTGCTTTTTTATCACTTTTTAATGTATAAACTAGGGGGAAATGCTCAAAATATCACAAAAGCGCTCTAAAAATTGAAAATAATAAGAAGCAAAAGAAACATATTGATAGTCACTACTACAGCGAAGAGAGACAGAGTTAAGTATAAGAATTGGAGTACAGGCTTTTTTGACATATCCGCTTTACTTATTAAGCCGTACCGGTGCGGTAGATATCCAATATCAAGTAAAACTTTATCTGTCTGAGGACGCATCTCCTCCTAAACGATTTGATCAATCCAGACCAAACTTGGCAAGCTAATCTAATGGTCCAAAAGCAAACCAAATTCGTATTAAAGTTTTCCATACCCTAAACAATATGTATATTTTTATATATAGAATAACCCCTATATCGTTACTGTAGCAGCTATTGTACATAGTTGAGTTTGACCAAAACTCACACCACAATAAAATTCTATAATTCAAAGATTGTACATAAAATATTCAGCTAGAATGCGGAAAATAAAGATATTGCTACTCTTTATGTTTCTCGCTCTTTTCTGATTCACACCATTTAACTTCCGGTTTATAGTAGTACTATAATAAGTGCTTACACCTGAATTACAGAAGTGTTTCTAATTACTTTTTGGGGGGGGGGTGTTTCTTACTTTTTCATGTAGAATGTAGTTTTCAGTAGAAGCAAAATTCAATATTATTATCAAATTTAATGCATTAAATGTACCGGATTCAGACAATAGACATCTTGACATCTTTCCTGTGAAATAGGCTGCTTTTCCATTTCTGCCAAGTTTCTCTATTGTTACAATTATCAGAAAGGCAGAGCTGGATATACAAACTGCACATCTATTTTATTGTATAGTAAATAAAGTAAATAATGTATACTTTAG